GGGTGATCAGGGGATTAAGCTTTCAATGGCAGTGAGCCAGCTAAGGTTGGCTCAACACAAAAATGAAGAAGCCATAAATGAGTGATTTTAAAGCCTGGGAAAAGTATTTGCAAGATACGTTACAAAGAAAGGATTAATAGCTAGGATACATAACGAATGTTTAAAAATCAGTAAAGAAAAGAGAAACAACTCAATAGAAAATCGAGGAAAGGTTCTTCACACGAGAAATACAGTTGTCCAATAAGCATGAGAAGATGCTCAACCTCACAATCAGAGGAACGCAAATTCAGTAAAAAAGATGACATTTGTTTGCCCATCATATTGAATAGACAAAGTTTAAAACATTGATAAAATACAGTATCAGTGGGCATGTAGAGAAATGAGTAATCTAGTATTCTTTTTTGGAGGTCAAATTATTAAAAATCTAAAAATGTGCATAGCTTTTAATGCATCAGTTACACTTCTCATAATCCACTGTAGCAAAATATTTGTCCATGTTACCAGTGATTCATATACTATATTGAAAAGTTGGAAACACCTGAGGTGCTCATCAGTAAAAGAGTGTCTAAATAAACTAAGGTACTTTCTTACTTTAGAACACTGTGCAGCAGTTGAACAAAATGAGACAACTCTGTATGCGGACATGGAAAATTTCCAACACATAGATTATTAAGTGAAATAAATAACAAAATAGTATGTACAGAATTATGAAAAGCAAATTAAGCATAGGTATCTTTTTAAATTTTTTATTGTGGAAATCCTCAAATGTTTACAAAGGGAGAGAGAACAACGACCTCCTGTACCCGTCACTCTGCTTCAACAACAAAATATATCTCTGCACATACATTTCTCTCCCTTCCTCACTACTCTTCAAACTTACCAGCATTTCTGTTCCTTTAACATCCCTCTGCTTGGAAACCTTAGTTGCCTCATTGCCATTCAAATCATAGTCCCCTGACCACCCAATTCAAAGTTTCTATCACATTACCGTTTTATGTTTATGCTAGCACTTGTTAGCTGCCGTCAAGTTGCCCAGCTCCTGGAGACCTTAAGTACAACAGAACAAATCCCATTGTGATCCATAGGGTTTTCATTGTATGAGTTTCAGAAGTAGATTGCCAGACATTTCTTCCTGGTTCGTCTTAGTCTGGAAGCTCGCTGAAACCTGTTCAGCAACATGCAGACCTCCACCGATAGATGGGTGGTGGCTGTGCGTGAGATGCGTTGGCCAGAATCAGACCCAGGGATCCACGTGGAAGGCAAGAATTCTACCACTGAACTATCCTAGTACTTAAACCCCCTGCCGTCGAGTCGTTTCTGACTCATAGTGACCCTATAGGACAGACCAGAACTGCCCCATAGGGTTTCCAAGGCTGTCATCTTTACGGAAGCAGACTGCCACATCTTTCTCCTACGGAGCGGCTGGTGGGTTTGAACCACCAACATTTTGGTTAGCAGCTGAGGCTTTAACCACTTTGCCACCAGGGCTCCTCCTAGCACTTATCGCTACCTAATTTGTTCTTACTTATTCAGCAGTGCCTAGCACAAGGTAGACACTTAAAAACAACTTACACGTCAGACTCCTAGGCCATTTCCTCATTTTCTCATAGAATCTCCCCTCCCCCGATAAATTGTTTTTCCCAAACTTACATATATATAAAATGTAGGACATAGATGAAATAGACAAGTGTATTTTTATAATGTGTACTGTATTGATGTAGCTATATACACATTGAAAAGCACATTAAGAATATATTCAGAAATTTGGATTCATTCAATTTCACAAAAGTTTTACTCAAGCTCCTCCCCTGCACCTTTGCAGCTTTGTCTT